CCATCCCAAGGGCCTGAGTTTGCTAGCCCGTGTCCACTTGTCGTCATGGTCATCATTAATACTGGTGTTGCATCTATCAAAAACTTAGCATTGCCATCCGATGGCAATACAACCTATGAGCATTGTCCAACATGTTCGTCCGTACCCCGATCGGACGGAGTCTCAAGAGTACCCCGACTCTCGGTGCTGAATAAGCGGTTTGACCATGATACGAGTTCGGCCCCGGATTATGAAGCACAGAGTGAACTGCGAACAGGACCGCAATTGCCACGTATGCATCCACGGGAGCCCTAGCCTTCCCCAAGGCGCAATGCACACATAGCCGTAGAACCTGCCGGGTGGTCAATAAAAGACGACAGTGGCAAGATGCCCAGACAGCATACCGGTCTCCTCACTCGCAAACACCAAACACCCAACACCAAGCACTCACCCATTCACCCACCGACATGGTCCTCACTCTCCACGGCGTCGCCACCTCGACGTGCACGAAGCGCGTACGCATCGTGCTCGAGGAGCTCAACGTTCCGTACGAGCTCGTGCACATCGACGCGTCGAAGCGCGAGCACAAGTCCCCCGCGTTCCTCGCGGTGCAGCCGTTCGGGCAGGTTCCATACATCAACGACGACGGTTTCAAGTTGTACGAGAGCCGCGCGATCGCGCGCTACCTCGCGCTCAAGTACGGAGGTATCGGGACGCTCATCCCGGACCCGGCGGACTTGCAGAAGACGGCGCTGTTCGAGCAGGCGGCCAGTATCGAGACGAGCAACTTCGACGTGTATGCTTCAGGGCTTGCAATGGAAAACCTGTTCAAGAAGTAAGTTCCGCACGGGTACGCCGTGTTATGGGCAGATGTTCATGGTGGCGGTGGCTTGTATAGGACGTGGGGTGCCGAGCCCGACCTTGCGCTCGTGGAGCGCCTGAAGACCACGCTTGAAGGCAAGCTGTACGCGTACGATCATCACAAAAAAGGCGGGCAAATGGTAAGCGTGATAAGGATTTCCGTTGTAAGAACGTATTAGAATCCTGATCTAATCTCGTTCTCGGTGAGGAGCGCCGCAATCATTGCACTACTCTTGCAAGGGTCTCGCAACCTGCGCAATCCTTGCGCCCATCTTGCAACCCATTGCAATCTCTGGCCAACCACTTACAATTCGCGCGCTCGTTTTTACCGGGACCTCGTGCAACCATCGGACGTTCTGTACAGTTCCTCGGCGGAGCTTGAATCTCAGTCTCCTAGTGACGGGCAACTCTCGCGCCCTCTCTCTCGCTCCTCTCTCACTCCCTCTCCCATCCTCGAGGCCTGCGGCCTCTCCTTTCTGTCTCTTGTCTCCGTAAAATATTGTTGTCGCCACTCTCAGCCTTGTACTAGATCTCGGGCTCGTGTCTTGTGGGAACTGGACCATTCGAATTCTCGTCTAGCTGCTGGCACTCAGACTGGTACTTCGGACTCGTCTTTGACTGGCTCACTTGGACTCAGGCTCCTAGCGGGTTTCTAGCTGGCCCCTCCCCCTGGCAACGCGCTCGTACCGTGTTTGAATGCTGGGTTTCTGGGCTGGGGCTCCGTGTCTTCCTTGCTTGCCTCACTGTGGCTATCGCCGGCTGTCTTCGCCACGCGGCCATCCTCGCTCGTTGCCTCGCTCGCTTGGTGCTCCTGATGAAGGCTATCTAGCTGTCTGGTCTCGCGGTCTTCTATCTCGCATGGCGGGGCGCGTCTCGTAGCACATATCGTAGTACCAGTAGCGCGTATGCATAGTAGCACCAACGTCCAGTTGCATGTATGTTTTTGGCTTGGAATATATATCATTTGATTCCCCTGCATCTACCGTGCATAGTACGATCCGGATTGGAAATCAGGAAATATGCTAGCATCATGCACCTTGTCTGCGCGCAGGATGATTGGAAACTTTGGAATATTTGGGGCTTTTGGAATAATCGCGACAGTTGTAAGGGGCTCAACGTCATCCGAGTGATATTATGACGGATTCCAAAGTAGAGATCATTGGGTACCTTACAACCGATTGCAAGTGCATTTTAGCTGGATTATATCACATTGCAAGATCGCGGTCAAATCTGTGATG